CAAGGGTGGTCCAAAAAAATTTAGTATTGCTAAGAAAATGGCTTTGGTGTTGGCCTTTGGAGAGAGAGAGAGAGAGGTTATGGCATGAGGTGATCGGAAGTATCCATTGACAATTCAGAGAATGGGTGGGATGCTGGTGTATCAAGATGGGCTAATTTGGCAGCACCTTGGCCATTCACAACACTCTTCCTTAGTTTCTCAGGTATATTAGGTATGGGGTTTGTTTTGGAAACTTTGTTCGGTATAGGAGGATGTTTGGGTGGGAAATAATCCCGTAAAAGACCTTTTCCCCTTGTTATACTCTATCTCTCTTTATAAAAATGAATGGGTCTCAAAATTTGTTTCGACATCGGGAACTTGGGCTTTGAATTGGGATTTTGGCTTTTGTAGAGGGTTAAGGGATAATGAAATTGATTCTTTGTCTGATTTGCTCTCCTTCCTCAATTTGGTTTGTTTGGACTCAACTGAGTCAGATAAGAGGGTGTGGGCTTTGAGGCCCAAAGGGACCTTCACTTGCGCCTCTTATTTGAAGTCTCTTTACCTTTTTTCTGGTCATCAGTTGTTCCCTTTCAAGGAAGTTTGGTGTAGGCTGATTCCTCCAAAGACCATGGCCTTTTGTTAGGAAGTGCATCTTGGGAAATTAAACACTTTAGATAACCTACAAAAGGGAAGACCTCGCTTGTGTATTTCTCCCAATTGGTGTGTTCTCTGTAGAGTTCATGGGGAGGATTGCTATCACTTGTTGATTTCTTGTTTGTTCTCAGAAGAGTTATGGGTTTGGCTCCTCCCATTGTTTGTTGTTTGGATGTAGTTGGAATCTACCGGCAGATGTACACATGATTTTTGACCATTGTACCTTCTCTTGGCCTGAAAAAAGAGGGAGAGTCGTGTGGAGATGTGCTTGGGCAGCTTTTCTTTGGACCTTATGGGAGGAAAGAAACACAAGAATCTTCCAAGGAGAGGAGCAGCTTAGATTTGAAGGGTTGTGTTCTGAATAGGGCAATACACTGGCTAAAAACCATGGAGCTCTTTCAGCAATTCTCCTTTAGTGATCTTTGGAGAAACTGGTTGATAGTAGCAAGTTGTTCCTCCACTAAGATCAGGGTAGCTGTGAGGTGGATTCCCCGTCTGCAGGATCTGTGAAGCTGAACTTTGATGGGAGCAGCCTAAGCAACCCAGGACCTTCTGGAATGGGGGAAGTGTTGAGAAATCAGAATGGAGAGGTAGTCCTTCTGTGCTTGGGTTCTCTAGGACATGGATATTCTGTTAAAGAAGAATTACTAGCCGCTGTATAAGGGGTTCTTTTTGCAAACTAAATGGGGGGGGGGGTGTGTGGAGCAATTGATTATTAAAGGGGACTCTAAGGTAGTGGTGGGCTGGCTGAATAACCCCCAGAGCGCTGCTTGGTGCTACAAAAATGAAATCAAGAAGTTCAAATGGCTGACATGGAATATGTCTACTTCTATACAGTGGGTGGGGAGTTCAGCAAATGCTTTGACGGATGTGTTAGCCAAGCAAGGGGCAAACAGGGAAGACCTTTTCTGGGCTCAATTGTGATTTGTGTTGTTTTTTTCCTTGTAATTTGTTGGGGGAGGTGCGCTGCAACTCGCGCCTTCCCAAGAGTTGTATGAGCTTTCATTCTCAAACCTTTTTATGATCTAATAAAATTTCAGCATTTATCAAAAAAAGCTTTTTTCTGGCTGCCTACCTGATACAATTCTGTTCCTCTACTTACTGGGGACTGGCAGTGTATGATAATTTCAAGCTAGTGGAGTTACTTTTTCAACTGGATTCAAAGATCTGTAAATTGCTCATCAGATTTATCAGCTAGGAAAGGAGCCAATTGGGAAGACTTTTATTGGGGTCTGCCTTGAGGGGTAGACACGTATAACTGGGTAATTTCTTGTTGGGATATGCAGTATGCTATTTGCTATGCGTTGTTAGCCATTGTCAGGCTAGCTATTTTATGTATTTTCCTCTTATATTTCAGCAATATAATATTACAAACTCAAGTTTCTCAGCTTTTCATAAGAAATCACTGTTGTAGGTCATTGATTCATCATAAATCTGAGAGAAAATACTATAAATATCAGAAATATTATTAACCTCCACATGTTCTGGCCTGATTACATGGGGTCTTTTGTTGTTGGCCTATGCTGATATAGCCTAGGTGAGACTTCTATGGCAGTGCCATAGCTGCAGTATCTCCTTGACCTTGGACAGTGAAAAAGGGAGAAGGATGGAAACAAGTGCTTAGGAGAACAAGTGAAAGTTGAAATAATCGATGCCCTCTCCCAAAAGATATACTTCATTGCAACATTTTTGTAATTATAAGTCTGCACCTTTAACATAAAGAGTTCCAATTTACCCCTACAGACTAGGAGTGCTCACGGTTCGGTTAACTGAACCATGGGGTATTTTTTCAAACTGAACCGATCTGATCGGTTTTTTAAATATCCAAACCGAAATTGAACTGATGCAATCGGTTAACTGCGGTTCGGTTTTTCGGTTTTTTTATGCACTTAAAATAAAAAAATAACTAAAACTGTCGGTGGTTGCTGTCGAGTGTCGCCTGAAGTGAGAGCTTGAGAGGTGGCATGGCTGGCGCCTGGCGAAGACGCAGAGAGGAGAAGTGAGAGAGAGAAGAGATGGCATTGGACCGTTGGTGCTTGCTTGCCGGCGAGGCAGCGACTGACGTTGTCGCTTGGTGCTGCTGTGTTGGTGTTTGGTGCGGGCTGCGCAGCTGTTTGGAGTGAGGAATACGAAGAGTTAGAGTCCTGAATCGAAGAAGAAGAGAAGAGAAAGCTGAGAGACTGAGAGAGTGAGAGAGTGAGAGAGACAAAAGAGAAAATTGGCACTCTGGCAGTTTGGGGAAAAGACAAAAGAGAAAATCAATCGATGGAGACTGGCAGTCTGGCACTCTGGCAGAGGCAGACTACCGAACTTTCAATTGAAAGGTTCAAATTTCAAAAAAAAATTTGAAATTTGAACCTTTTAAGGCTGAAAGTCTCTTAGACTATCGATTTTCAAAAAAAAAAAAAATTGGTAGGCGCCGAATAAACCGAACTCTTTTATTCGATTTTCAAAAAAAACTAAAAAATATTATATTATTTATATAAATATATATTACTGTATATATCGGTCGGTTCGGTTAACCACTGATTTTTTTAAATGGTTAACCGAAACTATCGGTTTTTTAAGAATATCGAATCGAATCCGAACCGACTGTTTCGGTTAACCGATTTTTCGGTTCGGTTTCGGTCGGCTCGTTTTTTTGGTTTTTTTTGGTTACCCCTACTACAGACAAGTAGATAGGTTTCTTAATCTCAACACATTTATATGCATTTTTAAGTGCACCATACTATTCTAAGTGATTCCTTTTTATATGGGTTCTGACATGAACTAAATTACTCTAGATTCTCTTCTATCACATGTTGACATGAGTAAACCATATGGATGTATTTTGTGATCTGGTGCTACTGAAGTCATTATGTTAGGCACTGGTTTGTATACTTGTTATATAAATTTGAGGCATGTTGGTGGTTCTTGCAGCCACATCAAAGAGTAAAGTGTGGCCTCAAAGGAAATAAAATGGGGAAATTCGTTAACAAAGACCATGAGATGAAAGAAGAATTCAGTAATTCAGTAATATATTTCGAATTCAATGTACTAGTGTGATGGCTTGCACATGGTTGGTTGTTCACATCTAAACCCTTATCTAACTTCTGCAATTCTGCTTTAGAGAATATTATTGACTCTTCAAATTTTCTAAATCATTCAGACAAAATTTGTAGGATTGTGTAGTGATATAACCAGGTAGGGGGTGCGACTCGGGTTGGTGGCCTGAGTTTGCATTTTACACTGCTTCAGGTTCAGGCCATCATGCTGCGTCCCTTCAAATTTTGTCAAAAGCCCAACCTGAGCCCACCCAAATTGCACCCCTATAACCAGGTTGTTTCAGAAAATATATGGATACAAACATGTCCTTGGTCTTTGAATGTTTAGAAGATAGAAAGTGCATAAGATTAATAGGCATTTTAAATATTACATGCATGATACATCCTCGATGTTGTTAAAACCTTAGAGACTAGAACTTTCTATCAAACTATAATGTCACAATAATTTGTCGAGGATCTAATAATGGTTTTATGCTTGATGTATTATTGATTTTAAAGATGAGCAAAAGCTTAGGATGCACCTTGTTTTATTTTATTTTATATTTTTGAAAATCCAAGTGTATTGTTTTCAAAGAAAAATTTACAATATCTCCTTTACAGCCAAGGTGCTACAGAGGGCACCAAAAGTTCTCTGTAACAAGCCTTTACAAAAATCAGTACAGCTTATACAGCAATGAAAAATCGGAAAACTCCTGAGCCCAAACCCCCTGGAAATCCTTATGAATAGCCAACCTTGTTGATACAAGCCCCTCACTCTTCTTAGCACTACCTCTATGGGCACCTTTTTGCTTTCAAGATTCTGGAATTTCTGTACAGATCATCCAAACAGCAGCAACAGGGGCCAACTCCCTTGAGGCCCTACTCCTACAGAACTTTGGGATAATCCACCCTTCCAAAGTCAAACATAGTGATTGGGGAAAACACCAGTTCACTCTACCCAGGATATAATTCCATATTTGATAGCTGAAACTGCTGTACAGAAATATAAAATGAAAACATCTCTGGATCATTGTTATTTCCTTTGGGGAAATTCTGTTGGTTTCTGTGTTAAAATTTCCAAGGAAGCATGGCCAACATACTGTTTTTTTCAATGATTCAGTTTCCTTCTTGTACAAACGATTTATATATTGGGCTATACCTTTTCAGCTGCTAACTTTGACCATTTATTAGTTTTTCTCTATCTTTTCTGGGAAGTCTATAAGATTTAAAGAAGATTCTTGAAAGTTGATAAAGCAGCTACTATTTGGAGTAATTTTTTGTTTTTTAATTTAAAGTATAGTTATTAGTGTTGGCATCTTCATGATCATTTTGTACATGTGACAGGGAGTGTCCTTCAGAATTGCAGGAAGCCATTGCAAGCATAATCTTTGCTGCTCCGAGGTGTTCAGATTTGCCAGAGTTGTTGCAAATACGGAATTTGTTCACTACAAAATATGGAAAGGAGTTTGTCTCAGCTGCGTCTGAACTTCGTCCTGATTCTAACGTCAATCGTGAAGTAAATTGGATTTCATGCATTGCTTGTTCTGTTTTTATGTTCTTTGTAGGAGTACGCATATCCCAATCATGATTCTGATTCTTCTTTCTTTCACAATTATACCGTCTTTTTGCAGATAATTGAGAAACTTTCAATTAGAGCTCCATCTGCAGAAGTAAAGCTCATTCTTTTGAAAGAAATTGCTGAAGAGTACGATCTGGAATGGGATTCTTCTAGCACCCAAATAGAGTTCAGTAAAAAACATGAGGATCTGCTGGTACTTTTCCTTCTCAAATTTAGTTTTATTTTCCATTTGTATCTTCAGAGGCTAAGCCTATTTTACACCAGTTTTTTTTTTTTGTTGCAATTACACTAGCCATTGTTTGATAAATATGAGTTTTAATCAAGAAAAAAAGGGAAAAAGAAGGCTACAATTTGGTCCCCCAAGAACAACCACCCACAGCTAAAGGCTCCTCAAAATACCAATTAAAAATAGGCAAGCTCAAAACTTAAAATAAAAAATGAAAACAAAGGATGCAAGGGAAACTTGCATTGTTAAAGCCAAAAGCAATAAACTTCCAATCTAACCTTGTTCCCCAAGATAAGAAAATTTAAACCCATGAACTACAAGCATAATGTGGTCATTGCAAACCCTGATACACTGTTTTTAGTAAATGCAAATTAGGAACTCTATCTTTGACATTTCCATTTCTTCTCATCGAATACATAAGGTTTAAACTTTCTGGAGTAGTAGTTGATGTTGCATACCATATTCCTCACCAGTAGCTTATTTAGATTTGAAGATGATATAAGATCAAAAAGGGGAAAACGAGGAGAGAAGAGTAAGGAATTGAGAATCTTGAAGAAGAGAGTTAGTTAGGGCTGTAAGCCCTCACAATCAAAATAGTGTTGGGACATTTGAAGTACAAGATGCCTATGGATATGGTTTTACATATAGGTCCCTAAATATGTATTAACCCATACTTCCACATAATATAGATTTTCCCTTGGACATGTAAGGCCAATTTTCTTTATACTTCCTCAAGAGGACCGGGTATTGTTTTATTTGACAGTAAAGAAGAAAAGAATTTAATTAAAAGAAAAAAAGTTATGCTACATAGTCAGTGAAGAGTTTTCACCATAACTATCTTAACATACATTGGCCAAAACAAAAACAAGTAACAAAAGTGAAACATACATTACAAAATTCCCCTTTCAGACTCCAACAGAACCCATGCATCTGACTGAAGATCACTTCTATTAACGTCTTTAAACTTTTAAAGTTTAAATTCCCTATGAGAAAGGATCCGGCCTACCAATTTCCGCTTCTGCCTGTATTTGTCTTCAAAGGTTCTCATGCTTGTCTCTTTCCAAGTTCCCCAGCATACCACAAATGGAACTGCACTCCATTTGCCGCCCACCTTGCTTCAAAAGCGTAAGGTGCAAGGCAAAGCATGTGCCTTTCTGAAGCAAGGCACCAAATTTTAAAATATTCAAAATAATCAAATAAAATTAAAAAAATATATTTAAAAAGCCAATTGGCTCAAACTATAATAAAGTTAAATAATTTTATTGGTCAATTTAGCATTTATCACAGCTTTCAATAAACTCCTGTTGGTCGTGAATGTAGGATGGGACAAATCAGCTATGCGCTCGAGCTGCAGGTTCTGATGTGCCCACTAGACAAAGCTCTCTGAACTCCAAACCGATGAGTGAGGGATGTCCAAACATGCCTGCAAAAAGGAATCAAGGGATTCAAGAACAAATTCAAGCTTCCACCCCATCCAAAAGCAGCGTATCCATGATTAGTCCTGATAGAACGGCACCATCAGCTATGGATCACAAGAATGGACAAACTAGTGATATTAAAACTGAGTCAAAATCACAAGCGTCAGATATCTTGGAGAGAGCTCGAGCTGCTATTGCCTTTGCAGAGCGTGCATCAGCTAGTGCCCGCGCAGCTGCTGAGCTTGTAAATGTCAAGTATGGTTCGTGGATGCAAGAAGGAAAGTCTATCCAGTGCTCAAATGAATGAAGATGGACATCTTGGTTCTCTACAAGGAGCTTGGTACTTGAGAGAGAATAGTGTAATTTACTTTAAATAGTCAAAATTAAATGCTTTTTCTTACTAAAAATATAAATTACTTATACTATATTATTCAATTTACAATTTTCTCTTATTTACAAAGTTATTACTCTATAGTAATTAAAGAGCCAAATTGTCCTTTCGGCCTTAAAAAAAAGCCCAAACTAAAGTCATGCTATTATTGTAGTTAGAGTGCGAATCTAGTAATGTTAGTGTCTTGTTTATAATTTAATAAAAAATATTCGGAGTTTCATTATATGTAGTTCTTTGATGTTCACATTATATGTTATTGAGCAATGACATACTCAAAATTACAAAATAGATATGCGATACACATTTGTCTGAAGATAGTTGATGCAATAAAGTGTTTAGAAAATGAGTAAATAAGGGAAGCAAAATTGCAAATTGGTGAATACAGAAAAAATCACAGTTTTTTGGTAAATGTAAAAACCCTATATTTAACCATAGCTAAAAGCTGAAAAAAAAAACATTTTTTTAAGAGGCTAAGAGACTATCTTGCTGTTCTGTCCATAAGATTACAAATAATTGCATGGTAGAATTTTAACGCTATCAATTGGCACTATATCTGCCTATATCAGTATATGTTTCTGCAGTTTAGGGACTCCCCATTTTTTGAAGGATTAAAATAGAACATTCTTGGTTAATATTGGCATGCATCAACGGACAACTAATTGGGATATATAGGCAATGTAGATGCTCAAATATGTAGCTCCAAAATTGGATGTAGAAATCCTATTTGGGGATGGGTGCATATCCATATTTCTCGAGAATCCTACTATATCACTAAAAAAATGAGGCCTCAAAAGGAATATAACACCAGCTAGTTACAATTATCCTATAATTGCCACATTATCAAAAGATGGTGATAGTGATAATCTGGCTAAACGCTATTAACTCCGAAGTTGCTGAGAGAAAGCATTCTCAAGAGTCAAGAAGTAACATGCCACAATCTAATGGTTTACAACGTTCTCTGGAGGCTCGATGTTTAACTAGGGCTGTTCATAAGAAGACCCAAACCGGCCAATCCGGACCGATCCAATCTGAGTCGGTCGGGTTTTCTTCAGCACCGGTCGGTTTTGGGTTATAAAAAATCATAAACCGATGATTCGGTTTGGTTTCAGTTTTCATGTGTGAAAACTGAAACTGACCCGAACCGAACCGACTTGGTAGTTAGTTCCTAGTTAGTAGTTAGAACCTACTTAGTTCCTACTTAACTAAGTTGTCTCTATCGTAGTTACAACTTACTTAACTAAGTTGTCTCTCAAACTTTGCTCCTTCCACAACTAGATCCATAGATGGGTCACAAAACATTAAGGAAATGCTGGTTGCCTTTGGGAATGTAGAGCCAGAAATGAACACCTGAATAACAACTAAGTCACCACTAAGTAGAGACGAAACCGATCCAAACCGATTAAGTCGGTTTTGCTTAACACAAGGTCGGTTTCGGTTTCTATTTCAGGTAACCCGACCAAATCGGGTCGGTTGAAAAAACGTCAATAAGCCGACCCAACCCAACCCGTAAACAGCCCTATGTTTAACTCTGTTTAAAATTGAAATAGTTTTTTCCTTATACTCAGTTTGAAAAGAGTATAAATACAAATATATAGAATGCAAAATCTTGTATTTTCTATTATTTTGTATATATTTATACTGTACATATTTGTATTTGTACTCCTTTCAAACCTTCGGCCCAGTTTGGAAAGAGTACAAATACAAATTCGTAGAGAACAAAACCTTACATTCACTCCTTTTATTTAATACATTATCTTTCTCAGAAAAAAACCTTTTATCTTGCATTATTTTGTATGTATTTGTACTGTATATATTTGTTCTGAGCCTTAACATCCCTATAATAGATTGGAAGAGAATCACATTGTGCTTGCTACATCCTCATGAAGGCTTAAACCTACTGTGATTACTTTTACTTCCCAAACCAACCATTTTTCGCAGGAACACGACTACTAAAATCAAGTTAAGCTTGAAAGTTAACTTTGGAATGGTAAGCTCATGTAAGTCTCTCTCTCTGAAGTTAATTTTTTGTGCTTTGGAAAGATCAAAAGGTCAGATTTGTTGAATGCCACCTAACAGCATATCTACAATAATGATCAAATTGCACACATTGTTATATATATATATATATATATCCACATTCTTTACCATTGTATATTATGTGTAATTTACATCGTAGCATGCCTATTTCTTTTATTCTATATGGGTTGCAAAGGGGAAATGAAAGGAAGTGTGAAAGATGAGTTGAAATCCTCTATCAGAACTAGAGGACACCAGACCAAACATGATACCCACGTCAGCCTGAGATGTGAGCTCCTACATGTACAGAGTTAATGTAGTATTTTGTGATTATAATAGAAAAACTATAGATGATTTGAATTCAGAGCACATAAGTAAGAATACCTACAAAACTGACCAACCTGCTCGCCTGACTAAATCTGCCTGTGCCCATCGAGGCTTTGGATGTGTTTGATTTAGCTTGGGCTGGTTGTCCAACTTGGGCTTTAACCTTGGGTTGGGCCAAGCCTGGTCTTCAGCTCTGGGTCTTAGGGCTGGGGCTGAATTGGCTATAACCTATAATCCAAGTTGCACCCCTCACCCTTAGTCACTGTCGTACTGAGCTTCAATTCAATCACTTTATGAAATACATTTGGTACCTTTCTAGACTATGGATAACCTTTCATTGGATCATGATCTGGATGTTATCCAATTTAAGCAGGAATTGATCTCAACTGGTAGATCCATTTATAATCGGATCAAATCCAGATTCACCCAATTAGCAAATTTAATATTCATTAGTGAATATGATTCAAGAACCATTTTTTAACTGAAACATTAAAGCTCATATCTTAGCTAGATTGCTCCTAAGTTCTAACCCCTACCCTTGACTTGCCTACTGTAGACTAGTCCCAATCTTTATATCACATATATCAAGGTAGTAACAGAAACCTTCATATCATCAAACCAAGAAAAATACTGCAATATGTTTTATTTGACTAGTAGTAAATAGACCTACAAATTATGGAATTTAGAGTAATTAAAGTGCTATTATTATAAAATAAAATCCAGTTTTATCATCATAACCCAGGAAAAACGATATGTTTATGCTTCATTTATTTTGATTGAGTATCTTATCTCGAGTTCTTAATAAATTTTTGGTTTGGTCAACATCATGAAAGTGATAGAACTGAAAGTTTAGTCAACATCATGATGGTAATGGCAAGGTTTTTAAAACCGGACTGGACAGGGAACCGTTTTGGAACCGGTTCCCTGGTTGAATGGTTTGATCGTCTGGTCCAAACAGATGGCCCATTTTAACAAAAAATAAAAAACAAAAAATAGTCAAAAACCGTTGTCTGAATCAACGGTTCGATCATTTGGGTCAGTGGTTTGCTAACTAAATCAATGGTTTTCTAGCTAAAAAATGGTTTTGGGGTGAAATGGAACCGGTCAGGACTGGTTCCTGGTTTTTCCAGTCCGATCATTCGATCTGATCCGGTTTTGAAAAGAAAATATATTGTTTTTGAGATGACATTTCACAAACCATTTATGGTGTCCTTGAAGTATATATGGTGGACGAAATTAATTACCCAATATGAGTGATCTTAACTGCTTAATCAAATTGTGTTAGTTGTTAATAAGTTTAGAAAAATATTTGTAATTAAGCGAAATCCATGTATTGTTCTGTGGTAATAGAAAGAGATCAGAAGAAGGCAAGAGTTGTCATGTACATGCAACTTGGGAGTTCCAATCCCTCTTCAATCAATGACTGTATCTCTACTACTCTACCATGTTGTAACAGCAGATCAAGTGATCGAGCATTTTGTGAGTGCAATGGGAAGAGATGATTATTGCCTGAATGCATGCCACCCGACAGGGTGCAAGATATATAATAGAATTGACACAAAGGGGGTTGCAGTTGCGCGACGGACGATAGCATCTGATGCAGTAGTTATGCTGGGCGATCGAACAAGGAAAAGTAACGTCTGTGTTGAAAAGAATGCACTTTGCATAAGCAACAATGGTGCTGAAGTAATGAGAATGCGACATATCAATCTGAATTGCTGTACACACTCCAGAGAGAAGAGGCACAACGCATTGCAAGACAAGTTAATTTGTAGTACCTTCCGATCTGATTTTCGTGCTCATCGGCACCAATACATATACTTAATTACTTCTCTACTCGATGACTGTATTTTCTCTGATGCAGTTTTGTCTCTCTCGGACTGGAACTGGACCGACAGTAGAGCCGTTTTAGTCAATGGGTGGGTCACAGACCCCCCATTGACCATTCCCATTAGACCCACTCAAATTAAAAATGCA